ATGTTAAATTATATAAAAAAATATTGCCCATGAGGTCATAGGAAACACATACCGTTCCCTTCCACTCACTATCCTTCCATCACTATTCTGACTGTTGCTCTATTCCATGAGGAATTCAGTGAGTTTGTAATTTACACAAGAAAGAGACGTGTGATCAAAGGAGAGGCAGAGAACAAATAACTCCAAAATAACCCTGGGTTTTCTCACTTGTTTTCTATCTGAGAAGACACTCCTAGACAGTGAAAAGGTTGCTTTTTTTGGATGAGGTGACATGTCTGAGGATAGCATCACACCTTTTAAGGTGAGCCTATCAGCTCCTTGGAACAGCATTCCTAACAGACTGGCTCCCCTGGGGGCTCCTGCTCCACAGTTTCAGGGTTGGGAGTGTGAGTCATACTCTTCATGAGATATCACTGGTGCAGCTCCAGAAGACTCTGGCTCTGCTAGAATGGGACCAGGTACATATTTAGAAAGAGGAATAAAGCCAATTACACAAGCATATATGGAAAAGGAGTCGGAGAGAGAATATTTAAAGTGATGAAACCAGGCACTTTTTCCATTGGTGTTTTTTGCAGGTTGACGGATGACATCATGTGTATCATAATTATAATACCTTTTTTCTCTCATTTTTTGTTTTTTCAGCTCACTTGCTTATATATTGCACTCAAGGAAAGATCTGAACTGTCTTTTACAGGCTGAAATATTTATTGAAAAAGTATGAATTTCTGTATCTACAGTACTGTGTGATAAGGATGTTTTTCTTACAAAAACCAATGTGTTAGTCCGTCTCTCAAGGCTCAAGGCTCCAAAGCCCATTTCTTCTTGCTGAAGACATGAATGTAAAAAAAAAAAAAAAAAAGGTAAAATACATTGTTTCAATTCATAATTCATATACGCTTTCATTTTTAAGGCAATTCTATTTCCTAAAAAAATCGGGCACTGTTTAGAAAAATTAGCAACACCTACTTCAGTGAGTATTTGCTGATAATAAGAAAAAATATATAATGTTTGCTTTATCCTGTAAATATCCTTCTGCTCATAGGCTTTCTCTGTCATTGTATTGTGAT